GTTCAATGAGTCAGGTAGTCCAAATTTACACTCAAATTGACACATGAAAATTAGCTCAAGAGAAACAATTGGCTGGAATTTGGGAGGCCAAAAGATCAAAGCCAGAACCTGAAGAACGTGAGAAGGCTCATCGATGGGATGCTTTTAGTATGCATGATTTAGTGGAAAGTATGAGAGACATTTGCCAGGAGACTGAGAAATCAAATGGCAAAGAGGAGCCGCAGAATGCTCATGCATGTGTGTTTCCCATGACCTGGTTCAGTAGAAATTGAATTTAATTAGTTCCATGGGAGAAGACTTCCAGGACAAGAGTTCAAAGCTGGAAACCGGCGAGGAGCCCAAGAAGGCTCATGCTTTTACCATGTGCGTGTTTAGTCTATTGGACATTCATTTTGTTCATGATGCGATGTATTCAATTTGTTTGTGGTTTCTACCACGGGCATACTACAGTACTAGTACCGGACAATTTGTGGCATCCCATCACGATGTGGAGTCATTCATGGCCCTGGCAGGTCTACAAGCGACCGCAGATGTCACAGGACTTGTTTCGGGTCAAACAAGTCCTGGGCAGGCATGATATAAATTGCAACCGGTATAGTAGTCACCCAGCTTTTATGAGTTCCAGGATGTACGCAACGATCGGATTAACATGCTCAAGGAACTGGACTGTATGATGATCCCTGACGCAGCGTACACTACCCAAGGGTCAGGGCCCCATTTCTGTAAATTTGTGCTCTAGATCGACACCGTATTCGGAGTCAGGTCCTGGACACTTCAACCAGGCGCCAGTGGTAGCAGCTCTTCCTCCTCAGGGGCATCAGCGATCCAAGTGCTTCTAGCAGAAGCTGGTTTCTATGTCAATACGGCAAATGCAGAAGCAGTGACAGCTGTCAATGACACGTACCGCCTGAATGTAAAGGCAGGCATTAGCTTCTACAACTGGGAAATAGTGTCATTGGCTACATGCAGAAACCAGAACAAACAAGAACAGGTTGACGTGTGTGTGTGTGTCCTTCTCCACCTTTGTTTGGAGTTCCAGTTCCGCCCTCTCTTGCATGTGGGCCAGGTGAATCGAAGCAAAGGTGGGAGCTCGTTGTCCTGGGGAGTTTTCAAGAATGATGTGAAGACTGCCTGGCAAATTGCTAGGTATGTTGCTGGCTGGGAAAAAATCCCAGTCAAACCTTGAAATGGTCACCCCATATGCTGCATATTCCTCTTGAACGGGGATGCAATTGCTTTTTGACACAAACGAAAAACCACTCATCCAAAAATAGTGGTGCGATTTTGTATCTCCGAGTCTCTAATATACTCTCTAATATATCTTTTTGTTTCAAAGCATTTGCAGGGGGTTCAGAGGTCTGTGAGACAACCGTGCGATCAGGTGACTACGTTTGAAAAGCATGCGCTGCATGTACTAGATACTAGCTGTCATGTAATGTCGATGTCATACGCAGCCAGTGCACACATGCATGCATGCATTAATTGATACAGTGTCACTAGCCCGATCGAGCTCAAAACATAAACCAAGACTGCTCGGCCCAGCTTCCCGACGAGCGTCGACATGGCTCTCTCTAAGCTGTCAATGCGGAAGAAGCCCATCGCCCTGACCTTTCGAGAGTTCAGCACGTTGCAAACTTGGGGCATGCCAGCTGAAGTGTCGAATCCTCATTTCCTGGTTCTGGTTTTATCACGAACAATTAATATCTCTAGCGTGCATTCTTTATTGCATGATCGTGCATGTGCTTTCAGGCTCCATTTGATTGACCTGATCTCCCAAGAGACACCGCGAAATTCTCCCAAGTGCAAGAGGGCTCCAAACTTAGCTCACCTAGATGTTTGCAACTCACCTCTTGGGCCCAAAAAACTATCAAAGGCCAAGTGGCCCAATTTGCAAGGGAAGCTAGCTGCCAGACTGGGGGTTGGCTACATTGACAGCGAACGTGCATGCAAGGATTTGAAGCTGCTTGATGTCTTCGCCGGGAAAAAAGCTATGTCCATTGAGTTTGGTCTGGAACTTGGTATAATCTCATATGCTGAACCCAAATACACCATGGCCCAAATCCAACTCCATTGAAACCAGCCAAGACACTATTTGCATTATTCCAAATCCATTGAATCCAGCCAAGATCGAATGGGCCAGAAAGCGTTGGGATCCTCAGATCAGCTGCACCATGACTAACTCAAAAACTACATGACCTCTTCTAGTGAACCCAGGGAAGCCTATGATATCGTTGATGGTGATCACTGCGATCTTCGAACAACGTGCTAAGCTCAGGATAACATCAATATACTCAAAGCGCCCTACAAAGGGCAATTTCGTCAGGTGACCTTCATGAAATTGCCTAAACACAAAAACACCGGTTATTTACAAAACCTGCTCATTGAACATTGCATTGGGGGAGCCCTCAACAGCGATTGCGAAATAAGGTCAGGGTTCAAGGAGCTGTTGGGACAGGCGCTGCGCTTGGAGGAGGATGGGTTGGCCATGATCGGATTGCCGTGCACGTCCTATGTGTTCATGAACTCCGGTACCCACCGGAGATCGGAGCAGTTGCCCTACGGGGACGAAACAAAGCAATACATCCAAGATGCCAACTTGTTCCCAAGCTGCTCTTATTCAACCCGAAACTGATCGCCCAACCCGAATTCGAGACACACTAAATTGAATCAAGTTGCAATGCCATCGAAAGGCACTGCATGCCAGGGTGCAGCCCTGCAACCAAGGATCAGCAGCCGCACTTTCTTCATCATCATGCTCCTGAGTGTGAGGTGCTGCTATTGGCTGCTGGAGCAGCCAGGATCCAGCAAACTCCGAGCCCACCCAGAGTTAGGATACGTGTTAGATATACTTGAGAAGCATCTTGATGGACACCACTTTGTCAGGTTGTCAGCAACTCAGTTTGATCGCCTGCATTAATGCGCAAAAACATGCCTAGAACATATCAATGCTAAATGAACTAAGAATTAATTCCTCATTCATGCAAACATTGCAAAGCTTCTGACCACCGAGTTGGATGGGCACTTGGGGGGCCAGAAGTCCAAAGCCGTCCTTTGTACTGGGAAACACGCAGGGGTCCCAGCATAGATTACCCACATGGCATTCACGGGCCCTTCACGCAATAGAAAGGCCTTTCACGCATTTGGGGGTCCTTTTCACGCCAGTTCACGCAGATTCACGTGCGCTGAGTCCATGGTGTCCAAACCTCAAGAAGACCTTGACCAAGAAGGCCCGTGCAAAACTGACTTCGGCTGGCATTGCGGTGAAGTACCAGTCCAAGAACACTGGCAAAACAAAGGTGTGCACGCCTTATTTTAAGCACGATGCAAATTAGAGTTGGCAGCAAGAAAGCTTGCGAATTCCAAAGCCTTTGGGAGTATTTCATTCAAGAGTAGTGTTCATTTTGTTTAAAGGATTTGCTTTGACCATCTTTGACCAATATGGTGTTTGACAACAGTGGGTTTGTTCACTGAGGCGAGGAGGGCCCAAGCTGAAGGCCACTCAGGAGTATCCGCGTAAATTTGCCCGGTTCGTTTGCAAGCAGCATTTGAAGCATAAGGCAAGGTACACGTGAGTCACTTTGCAGCATTCCTAGACTCCTAGATGTTATAGTTGAAGCAGTTTCAATAAAAATATGCATGCAGGCCAAGAATGCACACATGTTGCGGGCATCTCTGGCTGCCATGGGCACGATTTCCAAGCAAAAGGCTAAACCGGTTGGTTTTCGTGCATGTTCACTTGCATGTCATCTAAAACTTGATGAGCCTCATCAGCTCTTTTAGGAGTTCAAGAATGCACATGCACTTTCACCTGGCACGTTGATCGCGCACATGCACACGTTTGGAGGTTCCTGGCGGCATCTACAAGTTCTTTGCCCGGGCGAACTTGGCAGAGCTGCACTCATTTGTGAGGGCACGGGCCAAAGAGGGTGCATATGCACCCATTTTCTAAGGTGCTGGATGACCCCATGAAAAAAACGTGTCAGGATATTTTGGATAAGGCCTACTTTCAGTTGGAATCACTTGTCGGGGACATCTTTGATATAATTGAGCGTTCACTCAACTCACATGCGTTGCATCGAAAGCTTCCCAACGCAGCTTTGAGTGTGTGCCCTTTGCACAATTGAGGCCAATGCATATGTTTTGGGGGAGGAAGGGGAATGTTCAATGAACTTGTGTGCAAGTTTATGCTAATGTACAAGCATAGAAATTACACATGTTGCTAGTTGCTGTTGACCCAATTGCCCCCTCGGAATCATCCCGCGTGAATTGGCGTGAACACGCGTGAAAAGGACCTCCTATTGCGTGAACGGCCCTCGGTTTGCGTGAAAGGCCCGTGAATTATGACCCCCAAAAGTCAACTCCCCAGAGGCACTTCTCCAACTGGAACAATCAAGATTGGTGAATACAATTTTGCCCTCAATACACCTGTTTTGCAAAGACAATTTGGCTCAAACAGTTGTCATTTGACTATTTAAGGTGTCCCTGGGTATCCCCGATGCCCTCAGAAGCTGTCCAAGCTGCGATCGCCCGGGCAAAAGCTCGAGCAGGTTCAGCTGCCTGTCGCATGCAGCGAGCTCAACCATCCGGGTATACAAGATATATGTACAAGCAAGTAAAAAATAGAAACAACAGCTGGTTGAACTGGTGACGCACGACGTTCTAGCACACATGAGGTCCCCCGGCGATGATGCAAAAGATCATACCCAAAAGCTGGTGCAAGAAAGTCCTTCTTCAACTACAACTTCAGGCAGGGTGCCAATGGGAGATGCAACAATAGCCTACCCTTTACCATCCTTTACCTCTTTTGGTACAACCGGTTGCAGGGGGTTGCGTCATCTTGACCTAATTTAGGTATCTTCCTGTTTTTGCTCACCTGCTTTTGCAAGGTAGCTCATACAAGTCAGTGGATTCACAAGAGACAATTCCAGCGACTCCAGAAAGTGTGGAGAGGGCAATTGCAGAGGTCCGTGAATACAAGAGAAAGATGGAGGAGGAAAAAGAAGAAGAAGAAGCAAAACGGCTCAAGTCCATGCCTGTTGTGCCAGTTGCAACCCCAGTCCGAGCAGCCAGTGAGCCTCTGTGGCCAAGTGTGGAGGGGCCACACTTCTTTGGCCATGATGCACACCGCGATGATCATGATGATGGTTGGTATGGGACAAACTGGGGATGTGATTGGAAGCAGGGCTGGAAAAGGCAATCCTGGTCGAATATACCAAGGTCATGGGAGTACCGCAAAAGCTGGAGTTGGGATGACTACTATGAGAGCAAGGGGTGGACAAATGAAGAGTATGAGGGGTGGGAAGGTCGTCAGAAGCTCCATCGTCCAAACACCTTGGACAACTGGCGCGGGTATTCTTGGGGTGAATCAGAAGCGGAGGAAGAATGCCAAGAGAAGAGCGAACGGCCTGCCAAGGTACCAAGAGTCCAACAGTTGGAAGACTCGAGGTCAGTCGAGTCACTCGCCGGATGTCTGAATGATCTGAGTCTGGAGGAGGGGAGGGTATCGAAGGAGAATGTTGCACCAACCCTTTTGGATCAGCCGGAGCAAGGTGGGGGGTTCGAAGATGCGGAAGAGCTCAACAAGGACAAACAGGACCTGAGAGCATCACCACCAGAGGAGCACAAAGACGATAAGGAGAATGACAAGAAGCAGGTTGAAGCAGTCTCGGCAAAGGAGGAAACGAAAGAGAATGAACCGAAGAGTGAAGCAGCGTTGGTGAACAAGGAGGACACGAAACCGAAAGAAAGTGAAGCAGCCGAGGACACAAAGGAGGACAAAGAGAAGAATGAAGCAGCCTCGACCGAGGAGAGTGAGGAGTCCAAAAAGAAGAATGAAGCAGCCTCGACCATGGAGACAAAGGAGGATGAAAAGAAGAATGAAGCAGGCCCGACCGTTGAGACAAAGGAGGATGAAAAGAAGAATGAAGCAGGCCTGATCGTGGAGACAAAGGACGATGAAAAGAAGAATGAAGCAGGCCCGACCGTTGAGACAAAGGAGGGTGAAAAGAAGAATGAAGCAGGCCTGATCGTGGAGACAAAGGAGGATGAAAAGAAGAATGAAGCAGGCCCGACCGTTGAGACAAAGGAGGATGAAAAGAAGATCGGGGCTACAAAGGATGACAAAATGAAGAATGAAGCAGCCTCCACCGAGGAGGCAAAGGAGGATGAAAAGAAGATCGGGTCTACAAAGGATGACAACATGAAGAATGAAGCAGCCTCCTCCGAGGGGACAAAGGAGGATGACAAGAAAGTCGAGGAAACCAATGAGGATGACAAAAAGGTCGAGGAAACAAAGGATGATGACAAAAAGAATGAAGCAGCAAGGAAGAAGACGGATGCGAAACATAAGAATGAAACGAATGAAGCAGCCTTGATGAAGGTGGAGGCGAAGCAAGAGAAAGACCAGAAAGAAATTGAAAAGTTTGTTGAAGACATCAAGATCAACTGGAACGGCACAAAGGAGACTGAAAATAAGACTGAGGTGACAAACGATGACAAAGAAAAGAAGAAGGAGGAGGCGAAACAAAAGGAAGACAAAAAGAAGGATGACAGCAAAACTGCAAAGGAGAAGGAGCAGAAGGAGCCTGGCACTGCAGCAGATGACAAGAACATCCAGGTTCAAGTGTCTGCAGCAAAGAAGAAGGCCCACGCCAGGTACATGAAGTTCTTCAGAAGCGTCACCAGTCAGAAGCCCAACATTTACGAGCTTTTAAATTGAACAGGCTCATCCGGCTGAAACAACCTCGGACATGCTGAGGCAACAAAGATTCGCCAGCGGGGATTAAGAAAATGGGGAATCGGGCAAAAGGTCGTGCTGTCCTCAGTGTTAGGAGTTTGCCTCATTCACTGGGATTGCCTATGCTGTGCCATGTTCCGAGGCAAAGACCTGATGGGGACACTGTACGAAGCCTGGACAGAATGTGCAGGTGAATGGAACAAATCTCGATTGTACCTCTCTGCCAAGTCAAAGGATTCCACCAAGCGCAGAGGCGTTAGGCGCTGGATGTTCTACTCTGAGCTCGTTCAGAGATTCGGCGAGGAAGGTGCAGCTGCAATTGTAGCTCACAAGTTGGAGAATGCAGAGTTGAAAGAAAAGGAGATCAAGTGCCATGCAGATGCTCCTTCCTGCGAGGAGCATTCATGCACTGATGCATGAACTTTTGTTGTTCAGAAATTCTTCATTAACATGCACGCCAAAAAAAACACGAGCCAAACGTGCAGCACTTCTGGCAGGCCTTGAAGCAATACCTGGCGTTTGACTCGGAGGTTGAAGTGGAAGAACATGAAGAAGTAGTGCAGCAGTTGTACCAAGCAATTGAAGATGACGATTCTGATGAGTCTGGTGCCACTGCATCAGATTCTGAAGGGTCAAGTTCTGACTCTGCAAAGGGCGATGAGGTAAAGAACGAGGGCAAGAACGAGGGCAAGAAGGAGAAGAAAGAGGCAGCCAAGTCAAAGAAGGATCAAAAGAAGACTGGCAAGAAAAGCAAGAAAGGAAAGAAAAAGGAGAAGAAGCCCAAGAGTGGCAAAGCAAAGAAGAAGGATAAGGAGAAGAAGTCCGGAAGAAAGGATGAGAAGGACGCGAAGAGGGCGGAGGAGGAGGAGAAAGCAGCTCAGGCAAAGGAAGCAAAAAAGAACCTTTGCAAAGATGCGAAAAAGGCATGGCTCTTCTTACAGGGTGTTCACTGTCAGGTCCTTTATTACATGTGCATCAAGTCTTTCAGAAAGGTTCATCAAGTCCTTGGGCCCCACATTCCCACGCCTTCTTGCCCTCATCAGGCCATTGATGCAGCGAGCCGAAAGGTGAAGGATTCCCAGACTTGCCTGGCAAATATCCAACATCTGCCCAGGGCTCATCGCAGTAGGAATATACCAGATTGAGCGATTTTGGTTCAATCAATCTTTGCCCACTAACACTATGCATGTATCTCGTCTGAATACGTTCACTTTTTTCAGGACCCCAACAGTTCGTGATGCAATGACCAAAGACATCAAGGCCAAACAAAGATTCAAAATACAAATGCCGACAACTATCGCACCTCTTGCAGGCAGCTGTGAAATCCATCCAGGACACCCGCGAGATCTTGCAGAAAGCCTTGGATGCTGACAAGGCATGTCATACAACGCGTTTGATAGAGACTGAACACCACCCGATTCAGTTTGATCAATTCAGCAAGATCATGTAACTAAGCTTGGTTTTCCATCATGCGGGCCACTTTGAGAGTAAAGAGCTCTAGCTGACTCTAGCTGAAATCCCCTTGCCCTCATGCATCTGGCCAGGTGGACGACGTGAAGACCTACAAGGATAAACTGGAGGATCTTTGCAAATCTTATGATTCGACATCCAAGCTTGCCAAAAAGAAAGCTTGATTGCTCGATGTCGTAGGAACGTTCGGGTCTTATTTTAGCTTTTGGGACCATGGGAGCTTCCTGCTTAAGTGCCTTCCTGCCGCACAAATGTGTAACAAACTAGCCCTGCATCGATGATCTTGAATCAAACACCAAATTGAATTGATCGGGGGTAGGCAGGCATGGTAGGGCCGGCGTCCGTGACTTTGACATGCAAGCTTGCCCAAAGAAAGCTTGATCAATCAATGTTCACTCAAAGCCGATGTTGCTCTTGAGTTTGTGGGATCACGTCGAGAAAAGCCGGTGCTCCCTTAGGTGCCTTCCTCCCACACATGAGGCATGCATGTGTGTTTTATGAATGATGTGAATCACAATTCTGATTTGATGGGGGGTTGGCATGGTAGCGCCAGTGTCCGTGACTAAATCTTGCAGCTGGGAGACCACTGTCAGCCAGCCAACAAATCTCATGGCTGGAGGCAGTGTCGAAAACAAGCGGGGAAGGAACGTGCACTTTTCTTGTTGGAACGTGCTTTGTGAGAATGTGCATATCATACACGATGAGGAGCATTTCTATTATGCTACACAAGATGGGCTTGCTACGTGTCATGTAATCCTGGACCCTCGCAGAATCTGACACCGACAGCGGCGTTGAGAACCCTGACGCCGACCTTGGTCAAAGAGTTGCTGAGCAGGCACGGCGCCATGCATGGTTAGTTCACCCAGTGGTTCAAAAGGCTCTTCACGCAGTGGTTCAAAAGGCTCTTAGATTACAGCCGTCACTAGTCCCTCAGGGCCACAGCATCAGCTCAGTTGCACGATCAGCTGCAGCCAGAGCAAAGGAGATCTTCAGTGTATGCAATGGCATGAAACATATCACAAGTACACGATGACTTTCAAGAGCACACACTAGAGGACACATTTTATAGCATGAATGCATGAAGCCCGTCTTACATGTCAGTGTGTTGCGTAGGAGCCCGGTGCTTCTGAGACAGTCGTGAAGATAGGGAAAAGCAAATCCAACAAAGTTCGGACCTTCTGGAAGAACCAGAAGTTGCCTCTGGAAGCTTGAAATTGAAGTGCAAGAACTGTTTGTGTGCAATATTTGATGTGTTTTTCTTACAATAGGGGCAAGGCAACAGTTATCAAAATTGACTTGTCAATTTTCTAGGAGCCATCTTTTATAGATCTTCCTGTTGTCGACCCCGATGATGACACAAAGATCACTAGTATGAAGATCCCGTATTTGGAACCACATCGAGTGCTTCAATACATGTATGAAGTGGCTGAAGCAACGACGCCCCAATCCCACATTGAGCACTATTGGGAATGGTCAAAGCGCTTTGGATGCCAATATGCACGGCTAGGTGATGCTTCGACTATACCAGTCGGGATTTTCGGAGACGAAGCAAAGTATGACGAAGGACCACCCCAGAAGAAGATCATGAGCATATTCATCAATTTTCCATTATTTAGGCCGGCATCGGTCCGAAGGTCTCGATTTCTGATCTTTGCGATAAGATCTGAACTGGTGTTTGGCACGCATACGGTCTATCCGCTTTTGTGGAATTTGGTGCGGAGTTTCCACTATGCCTTTTTAGGGCAAAATCCTGACGGGACACAGCTGTGCACAGATGGAAAAAATTCTTAGTTACTGAAATTCGTGGAGACCTTGTGTGGCACAAGTTTCTCTGGAGATTTCCTCAGAGAGGATGGCAGAGTGCAGATGTTTGCTTTTATTGTCAAGCACAGTTGAAGCCACCCCAACCTAACCTTTACACAGAGATTGGGGAGCAAGCAGCTTGGGCAAGCACTACATTTCAGAACATTTGGGATTGGGCCGACAACGTTTTACCTGAACAGATTTGCATCTTGCCGAACAAATTTAGTCAGTTCTTGTTATTTTTCAATAACCAACCCCAAGAGAAAAAGCAAACTTCCTCCCTGATCTTTGCAAGTTAGGTCCTTTGCTTGCACTACCAGGAATAGCAGTGGACACACTTCAGCCATGTTCCATGCATAATTGCAACCTTGGGGTGTTGCAGACAGCAAATGGCAGCTCTATGACGCTTGCACAAATTTACCCAAATAGCTTTTTGTCTGGGAAACCCAAACTTGGTTAGTTCAAATTTCTGGGCACTAGACTAGGAGGGAACACAGGTTCGTGTTTGTTTTGTTGCCTGTCTTAGCATGCCAAGGATGACCCTTATTTGGCTTGGGATGTACGGTGACCCAAAGGAGCCACTAGAGTTGAACCTGAAACGGTTGTTTTCCGATTTCAAAAAATGGTGCAAGATGAAGAAGGTTAAGTGCAGCCAGAAATGCATCACCGTTGGGATGGATACTTGGCACTGTTGGTGGGCCTATTTTTGTGTTCGATGATTACCATGTTTCTTTTTAAAACAAAAAGCATGCAAAGTAGCACCGTCCGTGGGTGAGACTCAGGTCCTCAAACAGAACGGCAACGTTTGTTTCACGCATAAAGCACATACTGGTCGTGTGTTCTGTGCCTACATGGCTGAAGTATCCACTCAAGTGGCAGAGAAGAACTTGGACGTTCCTCCTGGTCGCACCTTTGGGGTTTGGCTGAAAGAGCAAATGCGCACTGGTGTGCAAGGCTTTCCTGCAGATGCAAAGATTGAGTTGCAAGCAGCATGCATGCCCCTGTTCTGCAACAACAACTGGTTTCTGCTCTGATTTCCAATTTAAATACTCTGAGCCAGCACTAGGTCCTAGGTTTCTGTCCCAAAGCAACTGCAGTGAGGAACGCGTGTGCACGATGGTTTGCACTCTGCGAAAGCAACGGTCGTTACCTGAACCTTGGTCACGAAGGGGCATTGTTTGTTTTCTATGATTTGCTAGCTAGCTTTTTCGTCTGATGTTCGTTCGGGCAGAGAAACTATGTTCCAGGACCAGGGAAGCAGCTTGCAACATTTTCGAAGCCGGCCAATCTTTTCTGCAAGCTCACATCAGGTTGTCCTACATTCACTTTAGGCCAGGGTTCAAATTCAACAAATCAAGTCTGTTCAGGTTTTCAATATTGTTCAGCATCTTAGAGACCCTGTATGAGGCAGCAAAAGACATTGCTGGAGAGAGGGCAACGCACTACTCCAATGTTATGGACTTTAAGGCCCAAAATCCACCAACTCGATCACCAATTTCAAGTGACATTGCATACCCGGGTCAACAGCAGGCACACTCATTGTTTCGTTGATGAAGACTCCATGAAATGGAGCAAACTTCTCTGCAAACGATACCCAGCAAAGAACCTGGAACTGTTTTTAATGAAGGCCAGCCGTCTCAGGATGGGTCTGTCGGCTACTCACAAGGGTGCCATGGCCCGTATGCGTCATACCAGTGCACTACGTTCGAAGTGATAGTGCAGAAAAAGAAAAGGCATGGTGGGTTTGCATTGCTGTGTATGCCCTATCTTGAGGTCATTTCGCAACGACCTCAGATCTGAGGGTCCTTGGGTGACGGCCTCTATTTTAAGAGCCTTTTGAACTATACATACTACATACGGTACTGCATACGTATAATGTATACAATATATACCCTATGGATCCACTGGCACCCTCCTATCGGTACGGGCTTCTGTCTTCAACACCCTCTTGACCTTTTCCGATCGTCGCGTCGCGCGCCGCTCGTCGCGATCGTGGATCCGTGGAGTGGAGTGGAGTGGCACCCAGCCCAGTCCCACCGAACCGAAGGTCGATACGGACGCCGATAGGGGGATAGGTGTCCAGTCCGATCCCTCCCCTTTTTGGGGTCGGATCCTCGAGGCATGCGGAGGCGGACGTGATGGTCGTTTCTTGGGCGAGGAGAGACCGGTAAAACGTGAATGTTGATCCTCCTACGTAGATAGCAAAGTAGATGCCCTAAGAAACATGTCTCGGAAACCGTGCCACGATCAGTTTGGGGACGACTATAAATCAATTTAAATCCATCCCAGACCCTCCATGTATGATATATATATTTTCCACAAAACATTTGGCTTTATTGGTCAATGTAGCAATGTAGGTTTGTATTCCATGCATACATGGAGTGTTTGGGTATGGCACCATGCGCACGTTCTTGATATTTTTGCAACAGTACCAGGCATGTTTTTGGGATGATTTTGGCCCTGGATACTTCAAACTTTGCCATCAGGGCACTAGGGAGATGGAAACACACCTGCGAGTTTTGTGCTTAGGAAGAGGAACGGGATGTTTTGTCGAACGTTGAACGAAGACGTTGAAGTGAGGTGGGGGTGGGGGTGGGGACGTCTTCTGATCGATGTCAGTGTTGCTTCGCATGCTTGGCCGCTTGGGCCCCACCATGTCACAGCACCGGGGAGCCAGGAAGTCAGGAAGCCTTGCGGTATTCTTGGCTGGTCATGACCACATTTCGGATACACCAAAGTTGAGGTTTTCAAAGCCCTGCATGTACTGTATGCTTCCAACCAGGGAGAGAGAGAGAGAGAGAGTATTTGGTAAAGCAAGCTTGAATCTTCGGGAGAGAGTGGTGAACAAGACGAACGTGGTCGTGAGTTCCTT